TTGATTTCAGATTGAAGAAGTTGGTAGAATTCTTCTATTTCATCTTCACTGGCTAAATATACATATAGAGAGTAATATAAATATGTAGAGAGTCTGTTATGACATATATTATATATTATTGGACTGCAAGGTCAGTTTGAACCACAAGGAGCTCTGATACCATCGTGGTTTTAAGTCGGGCTGCTAACCTGAAGGTCAGCAGTTTGAAAATACCAGCTGTTCTTCAGGAGAAAGATGAGGCTTTCTGCTCCCGTAAAGATTTAGTCTCAGAAACCCTATACAGAGTCACTATGTGTCAGAATAGATTCCACGACACAGCACCACAGCACATTGTATACATTAACTACTAACATAGCACTTAGGGGTCCTGGTGGTACAGTAAGTTAAGCACTGGGCTGCTAACCCACCAAATACTACCAGGCAGAAAGATGAAACCGTCTGCTCATCTACAGCGCCTCAGAAATCCTAAGGAGCAGCTCTGCTCTGTCCCATAGTCACTAAGAGTTGGAATCAACTTCAAGGCAGTGGGTTTGGTTTATTAACATTCTTAATTAGTAAAATTAATGTGACCAATTCAATTAATATTCACCTGTTTTCTAAGTTTTTAATAGTTCTGCAATGAAGGTCCTCAGAGCAATCATTTCTAATTATTTCCTTCTGATAAATTCCTAGAAGTGGGGTTGCCGGTGAAGTGCAAAATCTGTTTTTAAAGCTTTTAATGGATACTGCAAATCATTCTCTAAAGAGGTTGCAGCATCTACACTCTCAGCAGAATTGTGAGCACTCCTCTCCCCACACTTTGTCCAAATGTGGTCTCCGAGAGTTGGAAAATGATTACTTGACATTGGTTTGCTGGTTTGCTTTGGTCTGTACTAGCACATGTATTGCTGAGACGTTGGGCAACTAAAAGCAACTGGTACACTGGGAGAAAATACGAAGGGTCGGGACTTGTATTATCATCTGGTCCATGTACTCGATTTTCTTTACAAAAACCATGTTTATCTGTATCGATAGTGAAAACTCCGAGAAACAGAACTCAACAGGGCTGTCTTGTTTTTCCAGGTCTTGTGTCTTTTCTATCTCTTATAGTGGAAACGAATGGAGTGTTCCTTCTATGGAAGGTTCCAGGTTTCACAGATTTGCCTGCATTATATGTACCCTCATACGGTTAAGCTACTTTACTCATTAACTTTTTCATGAGAAAGAGTTTCACATTTCAAAATCAATTTCTAGTTGTCAAATCGATTAACTGGATATAGCACATTTTATTTTAGCCACTCTGCTTTCGACTTCCTTGCATTCTCTTTTTATCTCAGGCTGTATTTACTTAAAAAAAGCATTTATTTTGCAGCTGATGGGCTAGGAAGGAGGAAGTTTGGAAGAGAGAGACAAACAGGGCCATGTGCCCCTCAGGCCAATGACAAAATCAGAAGACACACAGTGAACACCAGAGTTCTCAATGAGCTTCTGTACTCAAGCATAACATGTGAGGGTCATGCTGGCTGAAATGGAAACCTGCCAGGTACTCCCTGTACTGAGCAGAGCACCAAAGTCCAGTGCCCTGTTTGCTCTCCCCCTGACACATTTTCTTACAGCTCTTGATTTGCAGGTGCCCTTTGAGGCTTTGGAAACTAGTGACCATCCCTGTTCCCTTCCCTGCTCTACCACGACTTAAATTTTGTTGTTATTATCTGCAAATGACTTAGCTCCTGATTTATGATGGCCCCATTCACAAGAGGACAAAATGCGGCAGAGCCCTGTGCTATCCCCATGATGGGCTGTGGCTCAAATCATAGGGGTTTCATTGACTGAATTCAGAAATCAATGATCAAGCCTTTGTTCCTAGTTCATCTCAGTCTGGAAGCTCTGCTGAAATCTCTTTAGCATTACTGCAACTCACAGGCCTCCAATGAAGGCGGGGTGGCTGCTGAGGAGATGCAGTGGCTGGAAATCAGGTCTCCTGTGTGGAAGGCAAGCATTCTACCGCTGAGCCAGCACTTGTCTTCCTTTTCCTGATATCTTTAGTCTAGAGCCAAAGGAATCATCATTCAATAGACTGTAAAATACAAGATGTCAGTGTTTGAAACATCTTGTTGCCAACTCTAGTGTTCTTTCTCCCCAGCTTCAAAAGAAGAGCAAAGCTAAGATTCCTCTGGAACATGGGGGCCTGGTTAAGGAGTTCTTTAAAGGGGGCAAAAGGCTGACTGATGCCCTAGACACGACTGATTTGAGAAGGTAAAGCCTTGAAATTGAGACAACGAAGACTGCCCGCAGCATCTTCCAAACCACAAAGGAACCCGTGTAGGGAAGCTTCTTTCTGAAATTGTGCCACACATCATCAAAGGTCCTCTCACAGAGAGAAGCTATGAGTCTCCCTTGCTGTCACTCACCCCTACATCAGAGCTGTCAAGCTCTGTTTCCAACAGTTAATAGAAAAATCACCTTTGTATTGGAACTCTTAGCAAACCTTGCTAGATATTTAGAAAGCAAAAATAGTCTTTTCCACAGGAAAATCGAATCAGAACCTCAGCCCATTCCTTTTTACACAACAGCTAGAAACATCAGACAAAACAAAATCCAACTATCAAAAACAAAATACCCAAGCAGCAGGCGTACAGTGCGGTCACTCAAACCATTGAGCATTTTAATACACTTTTAAATGGTTCCTTTTCTATGGACAATCTCTGTTCTCAAGAAATGATCTTTTGGGGTGAAAATCAGCCATGTTCCTAAAATAGCAGTAATTGGAACCAGGGAAGGTCAAATATTAGACTCACCCAGGGAATTATACACACACCTTCTGTCTCCTTTTCTCCCAAAAGGGATCAAACATCCCACGCCACCCTTCAAACACACACACTTGCAATCTAGTTGGGGTTGAGAATCCCTGTACAGAAATCACAGTGCAGAGGTTACCTCCTCATTCTCCTCCCCCATCAGAGGGAAATGTATAGGAGAAGCTGAAGACAGCCCCGAGCTACTTCATTCTCTCATTTGAGTTGTAAGGAATCTAAACATTTCATAAGAGAAAAACTAACGGAACCTGTCATTTGCCAAATTAGAGAATCCTGAGCTTGACTCCCAAACAAAAAGACCTTTCATCTGAAAACTCAGTGCAACAGAGCCCCTCTGCTGTGATTACATAGCATCTCTCTTCTGAGGTTCAGAACAGAGAAGGCCACCCCCGAGACAGACCTGGACCCAGTCCCAGTGGGCCGCAAGCTTGGTCAGTGAAGGCTGGACACCTACCTGAGACAAAGAAGTAGGCTGCTAGGATGTTGCTGAGTAAAGCCATCTCCACACGATGTGGCTGAAGGACAGCCTTAATGTCACCTCCAGAAGACGCTTCCAGGAATGCTTCTGCTGGAGCAAGATGGCTACTTTCTTCTCTTCTGTTTGAGAACAGAAAAGGAATAATGAGAACACATTCTGCTTTCCTGAGGCTGTGTTCCAGTAGCCTGGGTTCAGGAACAAAGAGCCAACTTCCCAAATGCCAGCTAGCTTTCCCTAGCTAACCACAAAGACCTCATGTCTAATTTTCTTGAATCAAGAAAATTTTCTGGTTTTCAAGAAGAAGCAACTCCTTACATCTATTTTCCTTGGTCTTTCTCCTTTCTTTTCCCCTTCTCCTCCCAAGTGCCCATTTTAGGACTTTCCCCTTACTCTGCCCTGTCTTATTCTCTTTACTCTCTCTGGTCACTGCTGAGGCACATCCTATTGAGTTCACACCATGGTCACCGTAATCATTCATTTGAACCACAAGCCACAGTCCACCTCTCTCCTGGCTCTGCTTGCTCTTGAGCTTGCACTCATGGCACTTTTGTACTTTGATCAGTTTGCCTCACCTCACAGGTCACCAAAGGCAAGTCCTTGGCAATGGGTCAGAGCTGGTTATTGCAGAACTTCCAAATCAGTTCCTGTTCCAGTTCCAAAATGCCACAAGCATTTGGGAGCTCAAGTCCACTCCTTGCCCCCAGGTCTATGACCCCACTGATGACTATGATACACCCACAAACTGCCCACCAGGACTAACAGTAGGGAATTGTGGGATCTAGGGTTCAGTAACTTGGCTTCTGGGAGCCCATCCTTTCCCCAGCTGCTGCTGCTCAAACTAAGCAGTATTACGACCAAGTTCACTCAGTGAAGCCTCCACAGAAAGCTGCTGAGGATGGCAAAGCCCGTGATAACTCCTATTCACTGCTGCTCTGGGTGAGAGTGAAGAACTGAGTCATGGTGCAGAGGGATGTCAGGCTTGGAGAAGTTTGGAGAACCAGAAGGCTCCAGTTCTCGGGGCTCCCACGTGGATCATAGAGATTGGGAACATGGACCATATTTACAGGACTGGGAGAACTGTGATTCACAAGTAGATGGGTTACAACAGACAACACAATTCTTATTCTAGTGGGTTCCATCAGGCTCCAGGGTACACTAGAGAAAGGCAAGACACAGAACAACCCACAGGTGAGATAGACGTGACCACAACCCCTGTAGTAACAGAGGTCTCAAGAGTGGCAGATGAGGGGTGGAAGTTTCAGGGAGCTTTCCACTGAGAAGGGACTGCTTACTGCTGAAAGACACTTGCACCTCTGAGTCAAAACACAAGGCCTTCTTCAACAGTCACTTGAGTTGCAAAAAGGTTACAAGTGGATGATACAAGTCTATAATTGGAACCATCCTGAGTTCAAGGGTTATCCACAGACAAGAGGACTTCAGAACCCAAGAAGTGAGTGACAAAACTGGAATCCATCTGCATATACACTCAGACTCAGCTACTTTACATCCATTCCCTTTGATTTATACATGATGATGCAAGACTCATCAATTCATTTCTGGGAATTTTACAACACTTTCTTCTTGCTCAAACTCTCACCTACTCTCACCAATAGGTCACCGTTTAAGGCACAAATTTGACTGTATCACTCCAAATCCCAACCCTTTAACTAATTCCCATTAAACTTTTGGTCTCAACACATGTCTACTTCCACAGTATGTAACTCTTGCCTTTGCTCCTAATTCGTTTCCTGCCTACCCTGATCTATACTCATATACACAGGCATACACTTGTCTAATGCTCCAAGGATAGCAGAGAATCTTCAGTTTTCTAGTACAACACACTGTTTTATCCTTCCATGCTTTCGTATGTGTTCTCCCATTTACCAAAATACCTTTCTTCTTCCCCTTATCTGTCTGGTAAATGTTTCTTTTAAGAGAGTGGTTGGAAATTCTACCACAATGAAGCTCCCCATGAATCCTTCAGACTCTATCATTATACCAAGAATATCCAGATATTCTTCTATAATGACACCTATGCCATTTTATCATCAATTATCAAATTATACATCTGTATCCCAGCCTTAAAGAGGTAGTGTGGTGCAGTGAACTACTTCACATACCTCTTGTAGCCATAGTCTTTGCAACTCCCACCAAACCACTCTTTCTTGCTTGGTATGGTGGAGGGAACTGCCGAAGAATTATGTGATTCAGCTGTGAGGGGTTACCAAGGCTAGTCAGGATTGGTCAATGTTGCCAACCTGCTGGGTATATAATGAGTAGTCATCTCAGTAGCAGGTACAGGGGCATCCACTACACTCAAAGATGCGCCAGGAGTGGGACACATCTTTTGGACCCAGACATCCCTGTGCACTGAATCTCCTCGACCCAGGAACAGAATGCTGTGTCACCAGAGGGGCCGCAGCAGCAGAACCAAGAGCCAGAGCATGAGACAGAGCCGTGGGCTTCCCAGCCCTGCGAGCAAGTAAAACTGAGTGACTTTGGGCAGGAGACTTGCTGGCAGAGTGGAGCGCCTGCAGACACTTAACTGAGGGAGCTCGGTTTGTTGGTCCACAGAACTAGAGCTGAGTGCCTTCAGGATGAGGCTTCTGGTGGCGTGGTGTGCCTTTGGGCATTGATCAGCAGACCTAAAAGGCTTTGTAACACTGGCTGGCCAGAGAGTCCTGCCTGTGGGCATAGGTAAGGAGAGGCTGTCCTGACTGGAACAACTACACCCTGGGCATTTCTGACCCTGAGCTGTGATGGGTGAACTTCCCTACTAACGTCTGGAAGTGTGAGTACGAGGTCTGAGTTCTGTGTGGCCATGGCAATGAACTCTCAAACCCACTTTAGTCAGTATTGTGGGAGGATGACTGATCATTTCTTGTGGGTGTCTTATAAGTCCTTGTTGTCCAAGCCTGATGAAAGAAAAGGGTCTCAACAAATGTTGGATGGCTTACTAGCTGGATGAAAACAGAGCAACGAGGCACGAGCTTTGTAGTCATAAATCTCAGAAAGTATTTCTGAACACAGCAGAGGGTAAGGCACCTTAGAGGTGCAAAGAAGGCCAGGGCTGACTGTGGCTCTAGATGAGGTGCCAAGGTCAGCACTTCCATATCTCTGATTCGTAAGGACTGTGAGGGCTCACAAGCAAGTTGTAAGCTTTACTGTAGCTCAAAGATTCTTGCTGCACATGTCCTCATGCCCTGGGTTCTAACAGAGAGTTTCATCAGCCATGGGCAGAGAGACAAGGTCAAAAGTATGAAAAAAAAAAGACAATTTCTAGATGGCCTATCCTAAAGAATGACGTGGATCAACCAGGAAGATGCTCCATGGTCTACATGGCAAAAGTCAGTCTAGATCAGAAGTTAACATACTTTTCTGTAAAAGTCTAGACAGTATTTTAGGCTTTGTGGGCTATGGTGTCTCATCTCACCTATTAAACTTTGCTATGAATCGGGCTGCTAATCTCACAGTCAGCAGTTCAAAACTACCAGCTGTTCCGCAGGAGAAAGATGAGGCTTTCTGCTCTCGTAAAGATTTACACCTTGGAAACCCTGTACAGGGTCGCTATGAGTCGGAACCGACTCCACGGCACATAATGACAACAACATTGTAATGTAAGGACTCCAGCTGCTCCTTGAAAACCCTATACAGGGTTACTATGAGTAGGAACTGACTCCGCGCCCCGTAACAACAATTGTAACGTAAAAGCAACCACAGACAATATGTAAATAAAAATGCTGTTGTTTGTAAGTACCTGGAGTCAGTCTAGACTCACAGTGGCCCTGTATAGGGTATCTGAAGAATGGCTGGTGAGTTTGAACCACCAACCATGCAGATCAAACCAACCTTGTGGTGAGTGTTCATTCTACAGCACCACACCAGTAAGACTGTGTTCAGATAAAAAGGTATTTATAAAACAAGTGGTGGGATATATTAGTGAATAATTGTTATCAGGACTGATTGTGAGGGTTGGAAATGTAAAGGTAGGTGTTTTGTAGCGAGGAGGGGAGTGATTAACTTTGCAGTCTAGGAGTGGAGGTCCCTGGGACCATCAAGGGAGAAGAGCAGAGAGCGGGACCCTATCCAGAGAAGCAGTGATGCCAGAGATGGAGGCAGAGACAATGATGTGGAGAGATGGAGCAGCTGGGGACTTTAGATTCAGAGACAGAGAGGGGTTGTGTGCTGATGACCGGGGGGCAGGCTTGTAGTGTATACCCTTTGGTTGGTTGATGATGCATGGAGGGGATTATAACCATGGCAATGAAACGATATACCAGAGGATGAATGTAAAACTAATGTTCTCCCATGTAAACTATCGCATAATTCACAATTAAACTGAAAACAAGTGGTGGGTTATTTGGCCCATGGGCCATAGTGTGATCCTTACAACTCAAAATATGGTTGAAGGACCAGCAGCACCAACATTAAGTGGGAGCTTGTTAAATACACATTTTCTTTATCACATAATGAGTCCAAGTCCACATTTCACCAGACCCCTAGGAGACTTTGAGAAGTGCTACTCTAGTTGACCGGAGGTGGGGGGGGGGAGCCTGGCCCTGTAATGCCTATTCCACAGCATGGTGCTAGGAGGAATTTCAGCAGTGTGTGGTCTTTATAAGTCTCATCTTGTAGGAAAGCTATTCCTCACAGACCCTGCCATACATCTCAATGCCCCAGGTGGTTTCAGAGTACCTTGAAAGTGAGGAAACTAATATCAATTGCAGAACTGGGCAGGAGAGATTCTGTTCAGGGCAGCTGCCAATGATGCAAGATTGGTAGACATTAGAGGTGATAAACCCTAGAGTCAAATTCTGCTCTCAGCTCCTTTAATATGGACAAACAGCTCAAAGTAGCTCTGGACACTCTTCACTGGTAGTTCACCCTATAATAAAACACTTCAATATCTTCTACCAACATATAGGTAAGGAGCATGAAGTCCCCATCCAGTCCCAAGTTTCATCACTCATCACTAGCTAATCCCCAACTGGGGGGATTCTCCACCCCCAGGGGGCATTTGCCAATGTCTCGAGATTTCTTTGATTTTACAACTGCAGTGGGGGAAACTGCCCATGTACTGAGTAGGGTCAAGGGTTGCTGTTACCCATCCCACAGTGCAAAGGAAAGCACTGCACAGCAATAAATACTCTGGTTCAAAATTTAATAGCTGATGCTGAGAAATGCTATTCTAGAACAAGCATCACTACGCCATTGACTAACCTAGCAATTCTCAGTGTTTATGCATCATAAGGGCATCACCAATACATTCAAAAAGGTATGAAAAAGAGGCAATGCTTGGAGTTCCCAGGAGCTTTGATTGGAGCATCAATCAATGCAATGTCCCCATGACAATGCATCACATTAACCAGCCCTTCATGCGAATTCAATTCTTGAAAACTCTTACTCTCAAACAGCATTCTCTCATGGGTGATCGCAAATGCCTTCACCTAATTACTGACAAAAGACAGCAAAATAGAGGAGAGAGAGTGTCTTTCCATCTAGAATCTTATCTTTACGAACACAAACTAGTCTCCTGATGAAGATGACAAGAAACCCCTCTTGTGAGCACCGCTGCTTAGATCGGTGGCTAGATGGATGCTTTGTGTGTTGTTTTCATTAGCTTCCATTTTAGAGGTAACCTCATTCTCAGTGCTTCAAATTCATCTGCTTGGGAGTCTTAGGCCCACTCATTTGGATTCAGTATAATCACTGAATGACAAAGTACAAAATGCAAAGTATTTGGTGGTAATGGTGCAGCTCATCTGCTATTTCAGTAGCAGCAGTGAGCATCTCCTGGTGAGTAAGTCCCCACACCAATGACTATCTCATTACATACTACTCAGGGGTGATCACTGAATTCTCGCTTTAGTTACCTGGAAAAAGAGTACTGTCAAGAATTGAGAAGTGTCTGGTAAGAAGAGTTCATCTCTGATACACTGGTGTCAAGCAGTAGAAATTCTGCAACTGGGTTGGTTCTAGATGGTGTCTCAAGATCTGAAAGAAAAGACAACAACACAGAAATCACATCATGCCTTAGACCTGGTGTCATCCAGGAAGCAGCAGAGAGGGCTTGGGTGTGTGTGTCTGGAACTGCAGAGATGGAGTAGCACCTTCTGAAAAGATGAAGCCCATTGCCAGAGTTTCACCTGAAATTTGGACCAGACAGGCAGTGAAGCTGACCTCCCAAGGTCACAGCAAAAAGGAAACATGAGGTGAAAGATCAAAAAAATGTGCTTCCTCTTCCCTCCTGTCAGCCAGAACCCACAAAAACAGTTAAAGTGGGATGTGTCCATCTGGTCCCTCATCAGTGAAGTGTACAGGCCAGTCTCCCTGGGAGAGAAAGGGAGGGAATTCTGTTCCAGATAGCAATGCCAGCATGGGCCATAACTGGTGTCTCACACAACTCTAAGTGGGCACTAAAACATGAAAATGCTGATAAACCCCAAAAATCACAAACCCAGCTAATAGGGGCCTCGGCAAAGCCTGGACCTCACACAGCTCTTCTATGCTGCCAGTTTCATTTATTAGTGTAGAGGAAGAATGAAATCAGTCAGGGAGCTGGGGCCACACTGAGCAGCTCCCTGGCTCCATACATACAGTCATTCGTCTAACTGCTCAGCATCCTGTGGAGGCTTGCAGAATCCTGACTTCTGCTTGTTTATTTACATCTTTATAGATACTATCCCAGCTGCTTCTGCCCCACTCAAGATTTGTGGCATCTTCCTATCACTATTTTTCTAGTGAAGAAATTAAGGACAAGAAAGCAAACGAAAGTTGCCAAACAGGAAGGGGAGCTATGTAGAGGCTATGTACTAGAACACAGAAGCAAGTCTGTGAGGACTGCTCATTCTTCACTTTCACTAATGAAAACCATAAATGGACTTAACGCTCGTGTGGTCACACAGAATCTGAAGTACAAAGGCTCAAATGGAAAAGTAGTTCCTACATTATAGACCAGGAAAGGATACACATGACCACAGAGAAATGAATGAGCAAGGAGGAGTCTACACTGTCTCTAGTGGGCATGTCACACCCAACCTGCTAGCTCACCAGCTGCTTGGTTTGCTGTGCTCCAACCTTCATCTCCAACCCACTGCAGCAAACCATTTCCAGAGACATAGCTTAGACCTTTGTCATCATCTAGCAAAGCTCCAGTGCTGAAACGTGGGCTGTGAATTCCTTAAGAGCAGAGATCTGGTTTTAATTCAATT